GGGTGGAAAAACAGAAAGTCAGCTCACTCAGAGAGCTCCCAATTACCAGACATCCAATGGTCTTTCGACAGGCCGCAACAACAGGCCCAACCTAAGATGGCGCTTGGAGGGCCACAAGGTTCCAGCGAGTTGGAGGAATCACAAGACGAGGAGAGATCCAAGGTGCCAAGGGGTACGCCAAAAGGCTGATTCAGACTCCGATGCCTCACCCTCCACCAAAGGAGATATCAAAAGTCGCCTACTTGACCTGTGAGCAGTATGGAAGGCAGATCTAGCAGGTGTGCAGGCAGAGATGGGGAGCATCTCAAGGCGCATCGACGATGTTGAGGCCCGAGAGGGAGACAGGGGTGGTCTGCTCAAAGAAACTAGCATTGGAAATAAGGGGAGAAGGCGGTGAACTACCATTGATTTCAGCGTTTAGAATCCGAAAGGCCCCAGGAACTCCCGCAGATGCCCCCAAGGACATAATAGCAATCACCAGAGATGTGTCATTTAAAGTTGCTATTCTAACCCTAGCCAGGAGACAACCCACCGTCCCTGTAGAAAATTACCACATTAGGATATTTGATGACTTACCATTCTTGGTCCTGCAGGAGAGACGCAGACTCCAGCCCATCACCAGACAACTGAGGTATCACGGCGTAAGATACAGATGGGGAGTTTCTGGAACCCTGGTGGTGTCCCGCGGAGATGAGGTGTTCACTTTGTTGGCAGGGGAAGACCAAATAACATTTCTGGCTGCATTGAAGCTCCCGGACGCTCAACACAGGGACTCAGGCAACCGGGGAGTTTTGACAGAGGATGACGTCCCAGGGGATCGTGAACAGCGGCCCCAAACCAAGAGAGACCAACAACCACTTCGCCCACAGAACCCTCCATAGGACTCTTTGTCCAGGGGAATGTCAGTAGTCAATGGGCCTCACCGGAGAAGATCTAAGAACACTTTATGTTTTTCTGTTTTTATATTTTCTGTTTTTATATTTTCAGTTTCTAGTGTGTGTTTTTCCACTGCCCCGTGAAGCATCCCATTTGCTAGCTTTTAATACTTGAGAACCACAGTCGATTTCTCTTTCCAAGCTTAAGAAAGGATAGCAGAGTGTAAGAAGTTGTGCAAGTCAATGTGTGAGGCACAGAGGATTGGGGCTGAATGTTAGCTAGCGGACATAGGGAGTGGTACAGTAGACCCAGACCAAATCAGAGATTATGCACATAGTCTACTCTGGATATACAAAGAGCAAATGGGAAAAGAGCAAACTTTGAATTGATTTTTTTGTGATTGTTGTTTTATTGCTGTATTAGTGGGATTTGGTCCCTGAGGAAGTTCCATTTCTAAAGGAACGAAACGCGAAGGACCTATGTTCCTCTAATTTTATACCTCTGAGCTAACGCTATTTGCTCTTTTTATAATAAATCGCTGATTAATTTTTTCCAACCTATTCCGGTGGGAGTTGTATTCTATATTTGGTCCACTTGGAATTCCAGTGAAAAGTGAAGCATTCTAGCCACCCAAAACATCGGGGGAGGCACCCTGAGCGTGTTTATATGTCTCCATCCTTTGAGTGTATTCCAACTATGGCGCACGATTAATTTATTATTTAGTGTATTGCACATAGTGTATATTTTTATGTTCCCTATTTAGATTTGGCAAAGCCGTATCTCATTTGCTCCTTGTATATCCATATATGTTGTAAAAGGTCGGATACTGGGTCACGATCTTGGGAGGCTGCCTCTTTTCATTTGTTTCAGATAAGTATATTTTATACTTATTTACAACATTGTATTTATTTTATTTTATTAATGTGTTGCATTTGTTCTTTTTCTACATAGTCTATTCTGTATAGCATCCCAGTTGAGTCTTAATGATGGGTCGAGTAGTTCTGAAGCTTCTGTTCGAGCACCGAGACCGGCTGTTGCAAACTGAGCACTTCCTCTGGCTGGGGGTGGAGGTATGTGTGACCTGTGTATACGGGAATGACTGTGCAGGACGGGATGTATGTATGAGTGCACTGTGGCACAGAAGAGAGCAGAGTTTTCCTTTTCGGATCTTTGGGCCCTTACCAATAGAGCTTTCTTTTAAGACATGTTCTACTGTATACGCTGAACGATTTTATGTTACTCTATATTATCAAATGATGTAGAAAACCTATTTTTATTTGGCAAATATGCATGATTCCACAAAAAATTTCAAAAACCATTGGATCCTGCAGACACATTCTATCGATGACTGCTCGCCTCTTGCATCTGTGCACTGCGTTTCAGAACAGGACACTTTGATAGAGTCCAGACCCTTACTATTACTGTTATGTTTAGACTTTTTTATATCTAAATCCTTATTGTGAAGTGTCTCTGCATGCAACGGTGATCACCACGTCCAGTTATAAGTAATGGAAACAACATAATTGTGACAATACTAAAAGTCAATATGGCGCAACATGGCATAAGGTAATCAGTAACTCGTTATACCTTCAGCAACAGTGTGCACTGTAAATAATCATTACGCTTTCAGATGATTATGTTCAGCATCTATGGGTTAATCCTACAGCTGTATCGCGCGCGTGTGTGTGTATGTGTGTGTGTATTTGTGTGTATGTGCGTGTGTGCGTGAAGAAACCCAGGAAGAGCTGAGGAGACAGAAACATAGAAATTCTGTCTCTCCAGCACCTCTCCCATGATATCATTATTTGTCAATGAATAACAGTCCCTAGTTATGCACTCAAAGTTCTGTAGGGATAATTGTATACTATTAAAATATGATTTATTATAAATATGAATATTAATATGGTGACATTAATTACTATAAAATATATTTTAATATGTCTGACAGGTACTTTTGAAAGAACTCAAGTTTTCTCTTGTCTTTTGCAGCACACGATTCTTGCTTTGGAGTTCACTCGTAGAAGATTTTATGGGCACAACTTGCACTCTGTATTTTCCTACCTAGTCACTGTAATTCTTTCCATTTACAGAGAGGTTCAGCTTAGAGACTGATGTGGTTTAAAAGTCATGTAACAAGAGAGGGATGCCCTAGCAAAGCTTCCTGTTATTCTATAAAGATCCCCCAGTAGTTTCACACATTCTGCTCTAAGGCATAAAAACACACTGATTGTGAATAGGAAAATAAAATTACTCAGACCAATATAACTTTTTAATTGTCTTTTCCATATGGTCTGACTATTGTATACTATTTGTATATATTTTTTTATAATTCGTGAACGTTTCTTAATTACATTGCATTTTATTAAAGGGACACCCTACTGCCCTGTAACAGGCATAAAAGGGGTTAACAGCCGTTTAGGAGATATTCCCCTTCCAGAGAAACAAAAAAATGATCTTATTTTATTATAGTGTAATTGTTGAAGATGCTGGATTTTAAATAAAATAGCAAATAATCTGCCTATAGTACTGAGGTTTGTACATTTCAGTAAGATACACAATAATATATACACAATAATAAACTCTAAAACCTTTTATTTGGCCATTTAGGGATTTAATAACTAAACATCGAATTGGGATGTTTACTCCAATTAAAATATCTGCTAGAAAATCATGTTTCACAGTAAAGTACATCTGGAATTTAAGCTCATGAGTCTTGACAACAAAGTACATAACAATCTCCCTTTGGTTACTTTTGTGTAACACACAAAATGTAAATTGGTGGAGTTTTATTATGACTTGTAGGGAATTCAGAGTTCATTTCTGTTTCTAATGGAGAGTACCAAATTGTCAATCCCCTCGTCGAGAGACATTCAGGGGCCTAAATGAATTTATCATTTTATATCTCTATTGAACAGCTCAAGTATGTGACTCAAAAAAACCAACAATCGTTTAATTTTCAAATCAAACTGTGTGCTTTGTTACACAACTGTCCGCTTGTGTGTGTGCTATTCAGTGGTTATAATTATTCTTTATAGTATATGTTTAACATTTAGCCTGTGCCAGGGAATCAGCTATCCTAGGGAGTGTTTATTGTTCAAAATACGCACTTTTTAAATTGCCATACTGAGTGTTAATCATTAAAATGAAATTCAGATGGGAAAATATCATCACCTCATTTAAATACAGAAACAAATTAAGTTGTCAAACGCATTTTGCTCCACTGCAGATCGCAAACATCCACGGGCATTTTAAAATATAAGACTTGAAACAGCAAATGATCCTAATTATCTTATAATCTTCGCATTGTTTATCACTTCTGTTTCTGTTGGTTAAAAAATAAAATTGTTATTTTAATTCACTCAGCTTTGGTTAACAAAACAGAATCCTTTACTAGGTCGAATTAAAATTCCTCTTCTGTAGGTTCTGCTGAGTTCCTTCGCTGTTCAGAGCTCACTTACATGATTGAAGAATGGAAACTTGGTTACAACCTCTGTCGTTCATACACAATGTAGTTTATTAAGCAAGGTTCACAGGAATTATACGTGCGAGAACGAACCATGATTATTCTATACGGGAGAAGTTTTGACCAAGTTTCCATTGTCTTTCGAATTTGTCATTGGTTGTTTGCCATGCACGAAGTATGAACCCTGACCATTTTAACTCATTTCATACGATGTTATTTGCTAAGATGCCATGTACGGCCTATCCTTACTAAGTAAACAACTGTATTCTGTCTGCAGCTCATCTTAGTTTGATATAACCAAGTAATTGCAGAGGGATAAGCAGAGCAAGTCTACTGAAAATTATCTTTATACCGTCCAGCTGGTCGAGAATACATCCAGCCAGGTATCCGTTTGCTGTGCCATTAGTCAAGGATTTTGTTCTTAGTCGTGTCATAAAGGCATCGATTTAATATTTTTGGATAAACTTTTAAATTATTTAACATTATAATAAAAATATTAAATGTTGAAAAAAATATGTTTAGATTTTTTTTATATATATATGATATATTTTTGCTATTTAAAAATAATTTTAAAAGTTTATATAAAAATATTAAATAATGTTAAAACCTTATCCAACAATATCAAATCCAGGCAAAAAAAAAGGCTACATGAAATAAAATAAATAAATCTATGCGGGTTGAAACATTTATATCAAAGTAGCTCATATAGAAAAAAAAGCACCTGAAGGAACACTATAGGATCAGGAAATACAAACGTGTTTTCCTGACCCTATAGTGTTAAAAAGGTTGCCAGCGCCACTTCCCCCCTTATGTACTATAAAAACACAGCTTTATTCCAGGGCCACGTGGGTCTGCCTTCTCTGTCCCTGTCCCTGATTTGCCTCCTTGGCTGAGATCATCAGTATTGACAATCTCAGCCAATCCAAACGCTGAACTGGCCAATGAGCATCTCCTCATAGAGATATATTGAATCAATGCTTCACTATGAGGAAAGTTCAGCTACGCTGAAACTAAGTGCTGCACATTGTGCAGAACACAGGAACCACCTCTAGTGGCCGTCTGAGTGACTGCCACTGGAGGTGTCCCTAGGCTGTAATATAAACACTGCCTTTTCTCTGTCCCTTTTTTTAAAAGCGCAACTCTGAGGGTTCTCAACTCAAGAATCATTGACTAGATGGTGCCTAATTGCCATAGAACTGTTTCTGCAAAATCCATATTTTTATTGCTCATTGACTTAACATCTTGCTAAGAGTGTAATAAGTTCTTCACAATTTGTAGTTCTGTTCATGATCGCCATGAAAAAGTCACAACATTTCCAGCTGTTCCTAAATGTATTACATTTCAATGATTACAGACTATAGACATTATCAGGAAACGTCAATATGAGAAAAATGCTGAAACAGACGACTGCTGATCCAAACCTATGACTCATCAAAGAGACACTGGTCATTCATTTCACTATAATAATTATTTCCCCTTTGCTGAATCTGTGTTGAGAAATAAAATGAAGAGTAAATCTATTGCAGTGTGGAAATAATTAAATCCCTCCCTGAAATTCTGGGAAAGATCAGAAAATTAAGTCATTGCAGGACAAAGTGGAAAAAAACAGGCCAGCGGGATTAGTCTTTGGTGTGTAGCACATCTGCATCGGCTGTAATATCTAGAAATATATGTCATGTATTAATGTAACACTGTAATCTCCAGAAGTACATGTAGAACATGAACAGGTACCATATTCAAAATATACTATACATATGCTATATGTACGATGTATATTATTGCATTCATATTAAAGGTGTACTCTGTGCAGCGCTTTGCAGGGACTATGGTGCTGCTAAGAATCATTGGGTACCATCACCCTGGTTAGTGTCAAACCCTTTAAGTGGGGTTCTCCAGGCCCCTTCCTGCTGCTCAGAGTATCATGAATTGAACGTCCACATTTTTCATCCAATCATTGACCTGAGTGGGCTGAGAATACTGGACCAGACTATCAGTGCTGTCCTAGTTGGATGTGTAACACATCTGTCTTCCACGTTGTACACTTAACTGAAGAGGGGCTAGGCTGTGGAAGTTTGGAGAGATCCAGTTTTTCGAGTGTCATTTTACTATGCATGTCCTGGGTCCTATTCCATGAACTCTACAAGATCTCCCAGATGGAACAATAGGCTTGAGGAACCTTATTCTAGTGATATTAGTGGACTAAATAATAGCTTAGAAAAATGTAACCCCAATTTTCCTAATGCCTTGACTCGCTCTGGCTTTTTCTTTGCATCCCCACCATAACAGACTTTCATTTTGCTTCTTTACTTTGTTTAAAAAAGTTTCAGTTCATCCGAAATTTGTTCATATATCTACTCAGTTTGTCTGAAATTTGATAAAATGTTTTGAATATTTAACAATTTATTTATTTTTGAAATAAATGTATTTAAAAGGTAGGAGTCAAAAGAACGAATTGCACTAAACAAACTTAATTCAGCAACCCATTAATTAATCTGGTCATTTGTTAATATTTCAATTATTATTCATTTTTGGTGCATTAGTTGATATCAGGAACTCATGACACAAACCTGTGGTTGATGAAAGTAAAAAAGAAGGCTGTGCTCAAAACGTTTTATATGACAGGATACCTGGAGTTTGATAGAAAGCATGAAAGCTCCACAGTTATCACTTCAGAGTGAGTATTTGGTGTTTGGTTACATCTCAATGTTCTAGGTGTACTCCAAAAAACAGTATTCCCCTTTGATTATTGAAATGCTGGTAACTACAAAGTGGGTTGCTGGCACGGCTGGAATACATAAGGGGTTACCTCCTATGTCCTTGCGATTCATAAACCCTCTCCTAAAGAACAACTCAACCACCATTCCTGAACGAGCACGCCACCAACTAACTCCCTAAATAAATCACACATAACAAGAATCTGGATGGGAAAAAGCCATGACCGGCCACGTTTATATTTCAACTAACAAGTCAGCTCGGTCAGCTAAAATGGCAGGATGCTGTATAACAAAACCACACAGCCACCACCTGACCAACCAGCCTGTTTCTTATGGGCTCTATAAGGAGCCCCCAGTTAAGAGAAATGGCATCAGAGGAGACATGGCAACATGTTGGACCATCCAATCTGCACTCCTGACAATCATCAAGACAGCTACCAGGGATCAGAAGAGATTACCCTTGCCAAATCAACACTGGTAACAGCACCCAGATCATTGCCACCTTTGTCCAGCACTATGAGTTGGGGGGCACCCATCTTGCCCATGCCATCTGAAACAAGGCAAGAAGCTTAGGCCACCATAGACCTCGACCACTTAATCATCTAAAAGACTGAAGAATGCTAAGTAAGAGTAAGCTGGACGAGGTGATGGGCTCTCAAGAATCAGGCAGATGTGACTCAGACCTACGTCAACCCTTCCGAATCTGTCTGACTATAAAATTCTTGAAAGGTCAGGCTTAGCTGGGATTTTGTACTTTAACTGCCTGGTCCTTCTGTTCATTTTATTATTGGAGGTGGTGACTCGTGGGTAATTACTATTTTTTCATATGCTGTTAAAATGTAATCTCTACATTAAGGTGGATATTGGTTCCTGGCACGTGGGTTAGTATAATGTGAGAAACCTACTATCCATATAATGACTTTAGAGGGCAGCCAACACATGAGACACATACAGCAGAACATGATCAGTTTGGACCTGCTGTGTGGCGAAATTAATCACGCCACTTGTGCTTGGAGAGGACTACTTGGCAGCCTCTTGCCATGTGATTATGGTCCCAGGGAGGTTTGGCCCTTTAAATACAAGATTTGGGCTAATGGATTTATATTGTGCTGCTGCTGGCCCTTTAAGAACTGCATTGTGGCTTATGGACTTGTATTGGACCATGCTGGCCCTTTAAGAACCATCTGGGGACATATTGAGACTTTGTGTGACAATGCCCCTTTAAGACGGTGTCCCCAGACTTAGTTTAAATATTTTGTTCATTGCTACTCTCCCACTTAGTTCAGTAAATGGGGCTTACTGAACCAGGTACCACACAGGTGGATCACCCAGAAGTGGAAGTGTGCAGGCAATTTACCTCCCAGGCTGGCAGCCTGCTGTAGGTAAATTGCCGAACGCTGGGGGCCGCCATTCGACAAACGAACACGTGGCGGCGGCCATCTTTAATTCAGCTGAAGTTTTACCTTCTCCAGACTTCAATGCATTCGACAGTTCGAACGCCATTCGACAGTTCATTCAACAGTTCGACAATTCGAATGGTTGTCGTTCGTCTGTTTGAACTGACTTTAACATGGGAAATAGACTGACCGCACAGCCTGATTCTCTGGAACTGTTTTGGGCAGGAAAATGTGCTTGCGGTCGGTCAAACTTGAAATATCCCGAACGGCTGAACGGATTCTAATGATTTTTGGTTATGTTTATATTTAAAGTATGCTGATTCCGAATATGTATGTTTTATGTGAATATGATGCATATTTTTAAAGTTACAGTGTATGTATAAAAAGTGTATTTTTCCTGCCTGTGATAAATTACATTAACCCATTGTGTTCAGTAATTATATCACAGGCAGAGGGGAGGGATTGTATGTTGGTGCTGGGTGTGTTTTACGGTTTTCCTGTATATGATTGGTTGTACTGTGTCCCACCCTGTGGGATGTCCCCTTGAATGGGGACTTGCATAAAAGCCAGTGTGTGGTCATTAAAATCAGATCATCTTGTATCTTTCTTGAAGCCTTGGCTCATGTTTGGGGGATTGGAGAACTACACTCTGCGGATTGCTATAATCACTATACTCCCCAGGGTATGATCACTAAGCTCTGGTAAGAGCTAGTTCCTGTTTCTGCTCTCTGGGGAAAGAGAGGTTCCCCACTGGAAGCTGGACCCTGGCCTTGGGTCCAGGGTGGGTGGAGACGGCGAGACCCCTGCGCAGCTGCATCGCTGGAAGTGGGGTCTGCAGTGCTGATGGTGTCGGTTGGAGTGCTTGGAGTCCTCAGCGAGCACTAGGAGCATCGATTGGCGGAGGTACTCAGTTGGAGCGCCAGCGTTCCGTCACACCTGCCTCTTTACCCCATGGAATCTTTCAATGAAAATAAACTTGGTGCGGAGTTCTGCAAGATGAAATTCCAGTGCTTGGCATTGGGAGTCTGTGTGTACATGATACAGGTAACAGCTATATTCTGAGCAACATATTTCATGTCAATAATACAATTAATCCGAGTATAAATAGCATAATCTGCTAAACGTATTTCATATTTAAATTTGTTTTCATAACCTGTTTAAAACTCCAACAGACATAAGATTTGCTAATCAGCAACAAGATTTTTCCACTGAAAATTCACATTTATCAGCTCGAAGCGAAAACTAACCTTACATAAAATTAAAGGAATTACAATTTAAACTAGTTCAGACATTGCTGGCTGGTGGCAAGATCAGCCATGCCCGGTAGCCGTCACAGTGTGATATAAGGCCACCCAGCACTTGCTTATCATGAATAACATGAGAATGTGGAATAATGCGATCCACCCGCATCACACAAACTGTTTAACGGAAATGTAACCTTAAATGACCAGTTCTACCATACAAGAAGTTCTTTTAGAGGAAAAAATGTGCATATTATAGTGTTTATAAACTATGCTTCGATGGAGCTTTAGATAATTAGATTGAATACTGTGAGTATTACTTTGTAACTTTATATCTCGATTTAATATTCTTCCAAGATTTATCCATAGAGCTAGTATACATACACTGTATACCTACAGCACACACTACACCACCCTCTACAATATAACCTGTAAACTCTTAGTACACCTGTTAGCACGATATAAATAAAATATACATACATTGTATGCAGGCCCAGACTGACCATTGGGCATGCTGGGCAAATGCCCAG